ATGTTATTATTTCATGTTTTTGATCAAAGTGAACCCTCGGAAATATCATGTAGTTATCCACACATTTTTATTTTAAGATTTGGTCCGGAATTTTTCATGTAAAATCAAAAATAAGATTGGTAATTTTGCTTTATACGCCCTCTTAAGAATACAGAGTGTCACCACCCGTATTCATCCCGTGGGTGTTGTGAGAGTCGACTAAGGGAAAAAACTACGCAGGACAATAGCACTGCAGAGAGAAGGAAAACTTGACACAAATCCTATACCAACCCGTCTGGTTCAGCATGGTATGGTAGGCCAGAACCTTCTTTCTAAGGAGAGGCTTATGTCCAGCAGTGGACTATTAAAGGCTGTTGATAAATCTAGTCTAACTTTTAACGTACAGAAATGCAATGTTTCGTTTTTGTCAATAAACAACCTTCGTCTATGTACGATAGAGTCCATTGTTGAAGGGACATAACGTCCGGTCCTCCAAAAGGTGTTTAACAATTTTTTTTTTTTTTTAATTTATTCTTTCAAAGTGTAAACATATTAATGAGAAAATTTTAACATACATAGCATTTCCTAAGCCACGAAGGTTTATAACGAATGCTAAGGGTTAGTCTCGATCGTTACAAAAAATTTCAAAAAAAAAAAAAAAATAACAAAAGAATAATAATAAGAAAGTTCTGAATACAGTATAACACAATATTTCATAAATAAAAAGCGAACAGATAAAACAAGAAATAAAATATATATGATTAATTTTGATTAAAAAGTAATGGCCGTACTTTAGATTTAAAGTTCACCGGCGTCAGAATATCTCTCAATTCGGAGGGTAGTTTGTTAATAAATCTAAACTAAGTATTCGGTTGTTCTTTCACCGTATATATTATTTGTTGTCGCTCATTGATATAATACTTACATAGATGAGTAATTACCGCCTAAAATCGTTGCTACTGCACATCTGTCCACAGGCATATGCGTAGCAAACGTCAATTCAGTATTCAATGTGGCGTCAACCGAGTTGAACATAGCGACACATGACAGTAACAATCGCCAAAATGGCTAAATGCGTAGTGAAAGAATGCGATTCAAGGTCACAAAACATTAATAAATCATGCGGAATTACTTTTCACGTGTAAGTTTATGGTTTTTGTATTGATAATATCGTAAATAAGGCTATAATTGAAATAAAACACTGATAATTGTAATTTAGAATCAGTGTTACCATTAAAAAATCATTTTGGTTTTCCCACATTAGTGGGAGAATTTATAATTTATGAAATAATATGCTTTATACTGTTTTTAAACATTTTGCCAATAATAATAAAATATAGGAAGAACGGTAGTTGTTAGGGCTGGACCGATCACTTTTTATAGGGGCCCGTTGAACGTTCACTGCGAGCTTGGCAGAAGTGCCAAGCTCGCAGTGCTGGAGACTTTTGTACAAAATAATTAATTCATTGTTTTTCTTAATTTATTATCAATTTTAAATAATAATTGTACAAAATAATAATAATAATAAAAAATAAATGTTTATCATAAAAAATAAAAAATAAAAATATAAAATAAAAAGTAAATAAACAAAAAAAAAATTTATAAAATATAAATAAAAAAAAAAAAAAATTTTCTTTATTTGTTTTTTAAATTATAATAGAATTTGCAATACACCCTGGGGATTATTTATTATCAGTACAAGTTGATCATTCACTTTTATTATTAAATGCTATTATTTTTACATATGTAAAAATAAGATTGTATCATGAAAGTAAAATATCCACACAAACTTATAAAAAAGAGTCTAAAAGACAATTGTATACAAAACTGATGCTTCACAGCGCAGTTTGACTTTACACTGAATATAAACCCTTTTAACCAAATATTTCCAGTTATTTTATTATTTATACCTATTCTATTCAATTCGAAATATATTATTTAGAATATTTAAATTAATTTATTTTATTACAAAATTGTTTAAAAAAAAATGTTTCTTAGTTGTTATGGGTAAAATTTCATACGGTAGTCAACACTGGCCCACCATCGTAAAGTTATATCTTTGTCTTTGTCTAATCCGAGCGATGGTATTGTTCTTGTCTCGCGTGTAAATGAGACATAAATATGTTTACTTTCAAATGTTTAGTGGTATCAAAGCTACGTCGTCAAAGTTCAAAAGTGGTTACACTTTTTTCGACGTGTGATAATGAGGTTTGCTTCTCTAGTGTTGTTTTAACTCAATGTTGTCGCTCGACTGATTTCGCACACAAGATTCCGAGCAGCAGCCCTTGTATATACATCGTGTGTTTTTTTTTTGTTAAATGTATTGGTGAAAAAGTTTTCTTTTAGTAAATTATATTTAAATTGTGTTTGGATCGGGAGGATTTGACAGTGTTTAAAAAGCCCACTGTCATCGTTATAAAATTGCTTTTTAATTTTTGCTGGAACGATAGTTCGCAAAATTTTTCGTTGTAAGTTATATATTTTTTTTAAATATGTGTTAAAGGTACGACCATAACTACTCAATCCATACTGGATATAGGATTCAGCCATTGAGCTGTATAACATTCTTTGACTTTAAAGGGTATTCGGTCTTTGAGCAGCGTGATGTTTGCAAGGAACAGTCTGAGTTTATCACATACGTGTTCTATACGGTTACTCCAATTTAGCTTGCTGTCAATAACTAACCCCACATAAGTATGTGTCGTTACGGTTTGTATGGTGGTGCAGTTACATGGATCGTTGAATGACGTGTGTAAGCAGTTGTGGTTGTGTGCACGTATGTCTTTGAATTGAGATTTATCCAGGTATGGAGATTTAATATGCAGTAGTTTGGTTTTATCAGCATTCAACACCAGACCGGCATCATGGCACCACTTTAGAACTGTATCGAAGTCGGACTGTAAGAGTTCTGCGGCCTTTTGCGCATTCTGGTGTGCTGCAACGAGACAGGTATCATCGGCAAATTGATAACAAGAACTCCATTTCACACACTTGGCTAGGTCGTTTACGTATGTCAAAAAGTGAAGAGGCCCCAATACAGATCCTTGCGCCGTGCTTTCTGTAACTGTAATATGGTCGCTGTACGTGTTATCTACCTTCACGGTGAACTTGCGGCTGAGGAGATAATTTTCACACCAAGAAAGTAGTGGACCGCGGATCCCACATTTGTCTAATTTACTGATTAATAGTTTGTGGTCTAGTGTGTCAAAAGCGCGGGAAAAGTCTATAAAAATAACTAGAACATGCATTCTGTTATTTAGGAACATGTTTACTTCATCTGTAAACTTCGATAGCAAACTATGAGTAAGTAATGGGTCCCTCTTATATTCAGTTTAGCCTGCTGATTATTATAATGGCGTATTATACGTTAAATTAAATAAAACACCTGTTTTTTAGCTCCTGGTCCACGAGTACCCTTAGGCTATGAAGTTTATAATGGTTTATTACTTGGAACTCAAAATGTCAACGCTCAATAAAAACCATATTGGCTTAACGTGTTGCGGTTCTTGGAAATTGGTGTGTAAATAGAAATCGTCCGACCTTTCTGAATAGGTCATCTATTACCTGGTAACCGGAGCTCGTAGGTTCGATTTCCACCCACAGTTAACTTCGTGTTAAGCAACTTTTCTATGACTATTATTTAAAATTGTCAGTTAAAAAAATATAGCTACGATAATTTTCCCGCAGTTTCACCTGCGTTTTTAGTCACACATAGACAATGCGTGAAAAAATGAGTTTTCAAATTTAAATCAAAAGACAATTGTTACATACTTTTTATTGAACCAGTAAAATAAAAATATTATTTTAACGTCTTGGTCCTCGACTTCAAAAGAGGCGGTTTTTAAATCTCTTAGCCTCCCGTGTGTTTTATTTGTATCTATTATTTTAAATTTTGTAAAGACCAACTCGATGCAAGAATGTGGAGTGATTCACGCTTGGATAAAGGTGAAAGTTGTCTTGAAAGACAAATGACTTCTTGTATATGTTGCCTTCAAAGACCCGAAAACGCCCACTATAACACGGCAATCTCGTGCGCGACCGTCCCGCGGGGTGACAGACAGTGGCGGGGGCGAGGTAGCGCGTCATTCTAGCACACGGCTACATAAAAGAGAAGCGTTTCCCTTCCCCGCTACACCACCCGCTACCCGCTGACATCTTGAGTACCTCGTCCCCGCCACCGCCTGTCACCCCGCTGGACGGTCGCGCACGACGTTGATGGACTATAGTGCGGGTGTTTTTGTGTTAAATGTGAGTATTAGTAGTAGTTAATCAATCGCAAATCGCCATTTCTAAAGATGCCAAAAATATCAACTCTGCAGGCTTTGCTGTGGCACATTTTAGTTACATCGATGATAAATGAGAAACATAACGACGACCGGATGGCGTAGTGGTTTGTGTAACGGACTGCTATTCCAAAGGTCGCGGGTTCGATTCCCGCTCAAGTCAAACATTTGTGTGCATGAACATTTCATGTTTGATTTGGTCTGGGTGTTTCTATGTATGATATGTATGTATTTACAAAAAAAAAAGTATATATGTATTTATATCAGTTGTCTAGTACCCATAATACAAGCTCTTAAGCAGAGCTTGTATTATGGGTTGGTTGTTTGGGACTAGATGGCGTTGTGTGAATGTAATGTAAGAATATAATATTTAATATAAATATAACAAGGTTATAGAAACTATCTTTGAAGCGGTTTGTATATCGTGTCAAAATTTAAACTCAATCAGTACAGACAAAGAAAAGAAATGATGAGAGCCTCACAGAAAACAGTTGTTAAGCAATTCTTTCGTTGCATTTCACTGAGTGAGTGAGGTTACTGGAGCCCAAATCCCCTTCAAAAGGGACTCCAAGGGCAGCAAGGCACTTTTGACCTTTGAGTTGCAGGTGTCCATGGGCGGCGGTAGTTGCTTACCATCAGGTGACCCGTCTGCTCGTTTGCCCAATTATACCATTAAAAAAATCAAGTTATCATTTTTAGATGTACATAAAGTAAAAAGAAACAAACTTTTACAGGGTAATGCCACCAGACATGGACGTGTCTATGAGGCACACAAAACTGAAGCCGGAAGAGGCAGCACTCTTGGCTGGAGAGATCAGCAAGCCTTCCTGGGAGTCCAGAAATGAGGGCATTCACGAGCGAGTTAGCTTTGAAGATTCCATTTGGGGCTTCGACTTAGCTGGTGGATCGTTTTACAAGACACCTTTGAGGGTTACATTTGTAAGTATCTGGCTTGACATTGCGAGGGCTTATTAATAGGTGGAATAACAAGTCAAAAACATCATCATCATTGTAAAAAAAAACTTTTGCTCTTTTCTGAATTTTATTTGTGGTCTTTGCAATAGGTTTTAGCTGATTTCTTTTCTTGCCGACCGAATGTATTTCTTTTTATGCTGGATAAAGTTAGAAGGTCAATTGGGGTTAGGACAACTGATAGCAGGAGGAGCTAGGGTATGGGATACCGCAAGTCGAGAATGGACTGAGACTAGAGGGAGTTTACCGTGGGAGACCAGGAGGTGATAACGGTAGAGTCTAACCTCCCCTTCCCCTGGATTCTGGGGGGGTGAAGGGGTAGCAATGCACTAGTGACTTTTCAGTATGCAACTGCTATGCTGAGGTCTTGGGTTCGATACCCGGGTTGGACCATATGTTTGTATGTGAGTTTTCTACGTTTGATAAGTGTTTATTTCAAAAAAAAGTATTTAAGTACTCTATCAGTCAATCTAGTTTTCACAGTAGAAGCTCTGCTTAGTTTGAAACTAGATGGCGTTGTGTGACAGATGTCCGAAATATTTTGGCTCGAAGAGGCTGGGTTTGCGTAATTGTGTGTCCTCTGATTGGAAAAGTTACTGGGCCTAAGAGATTAACTGCTAATATAAGATAACATTTGGTTTATCACCGGTTTCTCAAAATGTTGATTGACGTCAAATTGTCAAATAAGAAACAGAATCTAGTTGCAACGCCATCTAGCGAAACCTACTCAAACTCACAGAATATATTTTATACAAAATTGAACAGCTTCTTTAGGTAAAGAATAATGTCTTACACGCGTACAGTACATTGCATATAAGTGTATAATAAACTAAATACTTCTCGTACAGGTGAAACCGGACAGCCGTGCATCAAAAGCTGGTATCAGACCTGGAGACAGGTTGCTCAAGATCAACGACATAGACACATCGACACTCACAATACAGGAGGCGCACGATATCATCATCAGCTCCGGCATCTATCTGAAACTTTCAGTTACCTCGTGAGTTGACCGTTCACCTTTCACTGTGATTTTTATATAATCTTTGTTTAACTGGCTGCAAAAACTGAACTGAACTCTGTCATTTACGGCCCGACTTGAAAAATTATATTTTTATTTAGGAGGGTGTACTTCCCGTTCCATTTAAACATTAATTGTTTTAGGCTGAGGAGAAACCTCCACCCCTCTAAGAGTACACAAAGGGCTGGAACACATTTGTGTCTTTTAACTTGCATATGTAGATAAGCATAGTAGTCACTTACCATCAGATACCCGTATGATCGTTTGCCCTACATTCTATAAAAAAAAAAAACCGGTCAGGTACGAGTCGAACAAAATCGATCTAAGTGGCGTGCAATGGGAGAGGCCTATGTCCAGCAGTGGACTGTGATAGGCTGATGATGATGATGATGATGATGATGACGAGTCGAACTTCGTTCCTACCCAGATTTTACGTAGATTTTCGCGAAAATTTGTAATTACCAAAATTTATTTTAATTTTCAACTTTTTTTATTTTTTGGAATTATTCCTTTATTTGTGCTGTAAGACGTTTCTTTTTGCCAAATTTCGTGATTCTAGGTGAACGGGAACTACCATATAGGTTTTCGACCATAAACTTATAGGGTACTTCCGGACCTTCTCTTGTTTTAAACCAAAATTGACAAATTTTGGTTAAAAGCAAGAGAAAATTCTGAAAATTAAAAAAAGTTGAAAATTGAGGTAACTATTGGTACTTACAAGTTTTCGCGAAAATCGAAATTTGCCGATATCTTTTTATCGTGTTGACTCAGAACTTCAATTTTTATACCCCTAATAGGGACCGTAGACCTCAGTATCTGGTATAAATTTCAACTTGCTAAGTCTACCCGTTCCTTAGAAAATCGGTGGTGACACACGGACAGACAGACAAGAAAGTGATTTTATAAGAGTTCCCTTTTTACCTTTGGAGGTACGGAACCCTAAAAAAACAATAATAACCACACACATCACACACGACTGTCTCATCCCAAACTAGGCAGAGCCTGTACTATGGTCACCAGACTGCTGATAAACATACTTGTATATTTCTAAATACATACAAATTATAGATAAATTACACCCAGACATAGAACCAACTTGCCGCTCATCACACAATTATTTGTCCTGGGATGGAATCTAACCCACGACCTCCGCTTTAGCAATCAGGGTCACTCACCACTGGACCAACAGGCCCGTCAATAAAATGAAGTCCAAATCATATTTAAATTTAAGACTTTTGACGTTACTTGAAATTGTCTCGTAACTGGTATCTCATTTAATTTAGATAAACGAATTGTAAGCCTGGATACATTTCTCAAGAATAAAAGTGTACTAAACAAGTTCAAAGGTTGTTATTCTGAAACACAATCTACTTTATTGTCTTTACATTCTGTTGGGAATACAGACAGCTTTCTTATATTGTCTTAAATCCCGTAGCGAATCGAATAAAATACTCTTGTTTCTAAACAATTGGGAATTAAAAAAAGCCGTGTGGTGTCGTGGGACACCCGATAGGAACGAAGTTGTTACGATCGAGTAAAACTGATTAGACACGATTTTAATTACAAGGCCATCTATGAAAGCGGCTATTACCTACATATTTTTCAGTTGGTTTCTAATTAAAACAATTTATACATTGGTAAAATCTCCTTGAGAAATGATGTCGAATACAATATTTTTTGCTCAACCTAAGAATATAAATTTTAATTTTACTATTCGATAGATGGCGCTGAATGACTGACAAGTGACAATTCAAAATAAAAAGTGTCGTGACCAATTTTCGTAAGAATTTTTTCCGTCTAGCCCCCTTTCACAACGCGCGATAAGGAACTTCGTTCCAAAAATTCTCATATGTACTTATGTATCGGTATCATTGTTTAAAAGATAAAATTACTGTTAAAATTTTACACCTTTTGCTTAGCGAGGTGAAAGAGTTTCTATGACTTTAGGTTGTATTGTTGTAAAAGACAGAAAATAATTGATAATAATAATAATAATCTACCACATTAACACAACGCAATCTAGTCCCAAACTAAGCAGAGCTTGTGCTATGGGCACTAGACAACTGATATAAGAGAACAGAGAAAGAACAAGACAGCCTTTACTAGTCCAGTGCTGGACATAGGCCTCTCCTTAGAAAGGAGGTTTTGGCCTACTATACCACGCTAGCCAGACGGGTTGGTTCTTCTCTCTGCAGTGCTGTTGTTCTGTGTAGTTTTCTCCCTTAGTCGGCTCTTACGACACTCACGGGATGAATAGGGGTGGTGACATTCTGTATTCTTAATCCGTCACCCCACGGGCCCGTCACCACACGCACCAATTATTTTTTTGTAAATACATACGTATTATACATAGTTGTATATTATACATAATTGATCTAAACTACCTTTGCGATTTTCACTTGATAAGTTATTAGAAACATTATATTTACCATGTCTATTTTTGGGAATTGGTTTCCAATATTTCGGCACTGTTGTAAGCGCTTAAAAATAAATCGCGCGTAAATCTCGTTTAAAATAACTTATCAATTTTTTTTTTTTATTTGATGCCAATAAACAATGAAGCATCTAAATCAAACAGCCATTAGCAAACATGGGCACGGGCATCAATTATCGAACTAATAAATGTAATGATAAAAATGTAGAATATTAGGCAAAGATAGAGACAGGAGAAGATAGAGATGCTGTATAGAAGATCACAGGATCGCAGAAAGAGAATATATTAGATCAAAAGAAGTGTGCACAGCAAAACATGACATTCATTAATTTCAAGGAAAAGAGAAGAAAATGATACATATCTGTATACGTAGGAAAGAGAAGAAAATGATACATATCTGTATACGTAGGAAAGAGAAAAAAATGATACATTTCTGTACACGTAGGAAAGATACATATTGGTATGCGTAGGAAAGAGAAGAAAATGATACATATTGGTATATGTAGGAAAGACACATATTGGTATGCTTAGGAAAGAGAAGAAAATGATACATATTGGTATATGTAGGAAAGATACATATTGGTATGCGTAGGAAAGAGAAGAAAATGATACATATTGCTATATGTAGGAAAGATACATATTGGTATGCGTAGGAAAGAGAAGAAAATGATACATATCTGTATACGTAGGGAAGTAATGCAAAACTAAAAAAATACCTTTGAATTCGACTGCACGGATGGCGTAGTGGTTATAGCGGTTGCCACGCCGCTTACTACTGCGCTGAGTGTTGTGGGTCCGATCCCCACATGGTACGACACTTTGTGTGATCCACAAATTATTGTTCTGAGTCTGGGTGTTCTTTATATCCGTTTCATATATGTTTGTAAAGTTTCCGGCGACACAGGATATATTCCTAGTACGGGAGTTGTCATTTAAAAAAATAAAAATAAATACCTTTGCATTGCATGATCCTCCTGGTCGAAAACCGGTTGCTCTGACTCCAGTGACAAGCTGACTTAAGTCGAAGTTGAAGTTGAAGTGAATAAAATTATGTTTTTTTAATAACTAACTGTGGTTTTGTTTCAGGCCTGAAGACGATGAAGATGCTTATTACTGTTACGAAGACCCTCTTGTAAGTAGTTTATTATATTACTAGTTAAAAACACAGGTAACAGAGATAATAGATAATTGTTTTTAATATCAGTACAGAAACTCACGTCTTTTATTCTAGAAGGGGTAGTCAGGAGCGTATGTATATTATATAACTAGCTTTTGCCAGCTACATTAGTCATCGTAGATAATATTCATATAAATTTCCAACCCCTATTTTGCACCCTTAGAGGTGGAATTTTTTTAAATCCTTTCTTAGTACACACCTGCGTCACCTAAGGATATTCCTTCTGTGCAGAACTTCATGGCTCTAGACCCAGCGGTTGCAGCTGTACGTTGATCGATCAAAAAAATAATTAAATAATAAAATAAACTTTATTCTGTAAGAAAACACAGCATACAACTTAATATAAATTAGTAACTTAATACAACTTACAATAATATTACATTTTTTTAAAGTTTTTTTACGTGCAACACTATACTACGCTATCTGTGGTCATGAGTTGTCTGTGAGACTGTGATCATATTTGACGTGGCGCTGACGTGGTGATCATTATTATTTTAGGTTACTATGTTTTGCATGTAACCAAGCAGGCCTCTCAATCTTAACCACATAGATAGCTTGTGCGGATGAGAGTTGTACGCTGTGTCCCACAGAATAGGTGAACCCTCAGCATTTACTGTGATGGACATGGTCCGTCCCAGTACTGATTTTCAGTGCCCACCAGAGTTATTGATTTGACGTCGGCAGTCAGTGAATTAGTATATATTTCTAAATATTTACACATTATAGATAATACTAATACTAGTCAGTAGTCAGTAGTCCGTGTGGTGACGAATTAAGCATACGGAGTGTCACCACCCCTATTCATCCCCTGGGTGTCGTAAAAGCTGACTAAGGGGACAAACTACGCAGGACAACAGCGGCAAAGAGAAGGAAAACTTGACACAAACCCTATACCAACCCGTCTGGCCAGCGTGGTATAATAGGCCAAAACCTCCTTTCTAAGGAGAGGCCTATATCCATCTGTGGATTATTCAAGGCTGTTGATGATGATGATAATGATGATGAATACTAGTCATTCTGAGTAGTCCATATATATATATAATTTCATGAGAATCGGTCTAGCCGTTTCGAGGAGTACGGGAACGAACATTGTGACACGAGAATTTTATATATAAGATATGTTTGAATAAGAAATACATATATAAGTATGTTTATCAGCAGTCTGGTTACCGTGTGGCGGCCGTGTGTAAGATATGTGAGGTTATTATTATTATGAACTAGTTCTTCAAAGCAGACACTCAATTGAAAAAAATAATGATACTGTGTATTAACGATCATTTTTCCGTTCAGGTAGATGGATACGACAGTGAGGAGGAAAGACGATTAGAAGAAGAGAAGGCAGCGAAACGAAGGGTTCATGCTAAAGTGGTATGTATGAGGCATATTAGAACATTTATAAATGGATGCAACAATTACTGATTCTAATTTAAACCGATGATTAATATTTTTTATCGCGTAAGGGGTAAAGAGCAGATGGGTCACCTGATTGGTGCCTAACGCTGCCCATGGACACCAGTAACTGAAGAGCCAGAAGTGTTTCAGTCCTTTGGAGCCCCCCCAGAATCGGGGTGTTTGAGCTCCGGTAACCGCACTACCAACCCGTCTGGCCAGCGTGGTATAGTAGGCCAAAACCTCCTTTCTAAGGAGAGGCTTATGTCCAGCAGTGGACTATTAAAGGCTGTTGATGATGATGATAATAAACCGCACTACACTCAAAACCAAAAAAAAATATTGCATAATATCGGTGTTTTTGAGGCCGTGGTATCTCTCCGGTCGATTCTAGCCTATTTTTGTGGGTCTCCCATATTTTACTATAAATTTGATATAACGTGTTGTGTTGCATAAATTCTGCTTACTTAAGAACTATTGGAAATCGAAATGTTACAACCCCTATTCATCCTATGGGTGTCGTAAGAGCCGACTAAGTGATCAAACTGCACAGGACAACAGCACTGCCAGAACAAGGAAAACTTGAAACAAACCCTGTACCAACCCGTCTGGGTGGTATAGTAGGCCAAAACCTCCCTTCTAAGAAGAGGCTATGTCCAGCAGTGGACTATTATAGGCTGTTGATGATGATGATGATTGGAAATCATCCTCATCCAAGGAAGTTTTTAAGTTAGCATAATTTGTAGCATTCATATTCTTAAGTAAGCAGCATTTCTTGAAATGGGGTGAAATATATTCCATGCTAGGTGCGGTACTAAACGGATCGGCATAGATTGACGTTTTTCTCTGAGAAGTTGCATTCAGTAAATTCATCTTTAATATCTCTGGAAACAGGAAAAAAATTATAATAGCTTTTTAGCAAAAAAGTAGCCGTATCTAATATAATACAATTATGGTTAGCATGTTTACATTTTAAACATGTTTACATCTTTGAGATTCATCAGTGTTTGTTCGGTATCTTTCTAATTACATTTACACATTTCGAATGGTCTCATTATTGACCAATAAATTCTTTATTTGACGACCGGATGGCATAGTGGTTTGTGTAACGTACTTCTATTCCAAAGGTTGCGGGTTCGACTCCCGCTCAAGTCAAACATTTGTGTGCATGAACATTTAATGTTTGATCTGGTCTGGGTGTTGCTATGTATAATATGTATGTATTTACAAAAAAATAAAGTTGTCTAGTAGCCATAGTACAAGCTCTGCTTAATTTGGGACTAGATGGCGTTGCGTGAATGTTTTAGAATATATTAAATTATTATTATTCTGATACAATGCATTCGTAAAGTCGTCTACAAATAATAATAATAATAATAAATCTCTTTATTGTACACCAGGTATAAATATGTAAAGATTAACTTAAGCTAGGTTAGACAGGTACCAATGGCGGCCTTATCGCTCAGAGGCAAAGGCAAAAAATTGGTTTTACATATTATTATAAATTGGTATTTCTATAAATGACGGTATATATTTTAAAACAGACTTAGGTTAGTTAACCTTTAAAAGGTTACTATCAGTTCTATATCCAAATGTAGTTTATCTGTATTGTGTTTGTTTATAAGCACTCTAGTTTTAAACTAAGTCACTTTAGTTTAAAATACGAAAAAATGTCATCGAAATTATATTTGCAATAAACTGAAATGAAATTCCGCAGTCTCTCAGGATCTGAAACGGGCGTAAGTCAATTTGTACGCTCAATAATGTTTTTCTCGCGTCTGTCCGACCGTATCTTATTCACTCGCAGCTTTGGGAATTGTGAACAATGTTATGCCAAATATGGTTTGATGGCGTATCATATTAAATGTAGCTACAAAATAAACAGTATCATAAAACAATTTTACTCACCTGTTGTTGTTTTTTTTAAATATGTGTAGTGACGGATTAAGAATACAGAGTGTCACCACCCCTATTCATCCCATGGGTGTCGTAAGAGCCGAGTAAGGGAACAAACTACGCAGAAGAACAACAGCACTGCAGGGAGAAGGAAAACTTGAAACAAACCCTATACCAACCCGTCTGGCCAGCGTGGTATAGTAGGCCAACACCTCCTTTCTAAGGAGAGGCATATGTCCAGCAGTGGACTATTAAAGGCTGTTGATGATGTGATGTGAAGCGAAAATGTGGGGGTTTTATTGGCATTTTGCGGTTTTTGATCTGCAGGTCGATTGGGGTTTCTTGACAGCGTATCAACAGTTGTTGTTTGGAGATGTTTTTGGACCAGTATGTACCGATAATTAGACTAAGGCAATGGTTGACTAAAACCTGGAGTTTTAGTTACCTTTTACGTTTCGCCCTCTTCCACTAATACTGATCTGACATTGGACCTGAATATTTTGAGCTCCTTGAGTCAATTTCCGTGATTGCCATACAGGTCAAAGTTGTGCGAAGGTAGTAGAGCAGCTCAAAAAAAGCCATAGTACTTTTTTTTTAATCCGCCAGTGAAGCGGTCAAGTCCCTAAAGACGTTATCATGTCTGAAAGTAGGATTATTTCTTGGTCTCATAATTGATTTCAAAGATAAAATAAACACACTAGACATAATATAAATAATCGCTTGAGCTCTGGGGTTGCCAATTCTCAACCGTAAACCTACCCAACCATGAGAGAGCCATTTCCAATTCAAGGCCAAGCTATTCTTTTATTGCTTTTGTGAATGAATGAGGTTACCTTAACCCCTCATCCTATTTGGGGACGGGGGCGGGGGGAGTTGGTGAGCACTCAAAGACCGGCAATGGACTTTTGACTCTTGATTCACAGGTGACCATAGGCGGCAGTGGTCACTTACCATCAGGTGACCCGTCTGCTCGTTTAATAAAAAATAATTAATAAATACGTTTAATAATAATAATATAATATATTCTACCACATACACACAACGCCATCTAGTCCTAAACTAAGCAGAGCTTGTACTATGGGTACTAGACAACTGATATAAATACATATATACTTTTTTTTTTGTAAATACATACATATTATACATAGAAACACCCAGACCAAATCAAACATCAAATGTCCATGCACACAAATGTTTGACTTGAGCGGGAATCGAACCCGCGACCTTTGGAATAGCAGTCCGTTACACAAACCACTACGCCATCCAGTCGTCAGTTTACTAAAGAATGATATAAAGAAGAAACATAACTACAGATCCGCTCAATCCACACATTAAAATAATCAAAAGTTCAGCGAGATAAACACCTATTGAAGAACTATATATACATATATTAATATTGAACTACATTAAGTTCTAAGCCCTAGATCTGTGAATAGACTCGTAACAAATGTCTCACGTGGGTGGGCACATATATTTGGCATCGACAAAACAAAGGTGGTGACATATGCAATGTCATTTACGAATGGGCTGATATTTATAACTAATGATGAATTAAGAATACAGAGCGTCACCATCCCTATTCATCCCGTGGGTGTCGCAACAGCACTGCAAAAGAGAAGAAATACTTGAAACATACACTATACTAGACCGTATGGCCAGCGTGGTATTGTAAGCCAAAACCTCATGTCTAAGGATAGGCCTAAGGCCAGCAGTGGACTGTTGATAATGATGAATGGTTGTATTTATTGTCACTTAAGAAAATAATACAAATACTATACTAACATATTTGCTCCTGCATCCTTCCAAAGGCAAAACTAACAACAAAGTTTTTATTATAGACATAGCAGTATCTATTTGAACTTAGAAATACCAACACACTCCACAACTTTTACCGATACGTCTTTTACGGTGAAAGCAGCACGCCTCTAGAATTCGTTATCGGAAGCTATAAAGCAGGCAAAGTCAGTGGGTACTTTTAAAGAACTTTTTAAGGATCACTATTTATCTCTGTAATAACTATGTGTTGTTCGTGTATATATGTGTATGTATGATATCATATTTATATATGTATGAAAGGGTATTCGTGTATATGTATTTGTAATTATGTGTGTTCGTTAACATTCGTTAATATACGGAAGTTGCAAATACGCACCACACACTACATATTACTATATAGTATAGTCCATCTAAAGGTTGCCTGGAAGAGATCGCAGAGTGCGATAAGGCCGCAAATTGTATCACTGTTTTTTTTGTATGTATCATCGCATCTATCCTAATTATAGTGTGCAATAAAGAGTAACTTTCTAACCTTTTGTGTGTTACATAGAGGTGTAACACACACAATCTCCTCACGTCGCACACAGAAAAGATGTCAAAATACAAAGACTTTTCAACTGAAATAAAAAGGCAATGGCAGGTAGATAGAGTTATAATAGTACCCATTGTCATATCTACAACTTGTGTAGTCCCGAAGACTCTTTAAGATAGCCTCAACACACTGGAAATACCTAAATCCTTTCTCATACTCTTACAGAAAGCAGTCCTTTTTAATACATGTCGTCTCACACGCAAATTTCTTGCTTCATCCTCATCATCTTAATTTTACATCATCCCTTTCTGGCACACTATGTGAAGGCCCGTGTGTTAGATTTTGTTACCCCTTTAAAATAAACGAGAGAGACCAGAAAAGGTATAAAAGATAAGAATAGTAATAAAACGTCATCGTGAGCACAAGATTCAAAGGGTACATAAAAAAACAATGAAAAAAAATCTACAATATTTCCTTAATTATTCTCTTAATCGACTATAGTGATGTGTGTTATTTTGACCTGAATGCAGACCTTCTCAGACCAGATAGCAGAGGACAACCTCCCCTCCTTTCCTCAATTCGACCAAGGGGCCACACTAACGGTGGTAACCCAGTTGCATGTGTCTTACTTAAAATCAGTTGTCATGGCACGTCAGTTCGCTTTCCTCCTATACCATAAAACTTCAGGACAAAGCTATTTATTTCTTTAAAAGAACATTTGTACATGGGTTTTCACATCACTAGTATTACTAGCTAGGTGTAAGCCGCGGTGTTACCCACGGTTGTTGTTGTACCTTGCTCAGGCCACTTGAACACTGCATTTTTGACGTGACAACGTCTTATAATTCGATGGAGCCGGCTGCACGCACGAAAAAACATGACTCATGCGGCGTTACCTCGCTCTGAGGCGTTCCATTTAAGGCGTGAAGTGCAAGCCAGAACGCGGAACGAGTGACAAAGAGGCACAATCGGCCTCCGCGTTTGGCAGCATTCGACATCTGTCTCTCTCAAGTAGGAACTTGAGTGAGCGATGCGTCCGCGTGGACAGCTACTACTCGTAGACAATAATACATTTTTGAAAAATGCAACCATTCCATCAGTATTTTCTTATGACGTTGTCACGTTCAACTATCGTCAGTAAACCAACTTTACAGACAACCGATTTTTTTTAAGATAAAAAGTAGCCTATATGCTTTCCAGACTATAATTTATCTCTGTATGAAATTTCATGCAGATCCGTCCAGCTATTTTCACGTGAAAGAGTAACAAACATCCATACAAACATTCGTTTTTATAATATTAGTAAGATTCAACTAATTTAGATATATTTGTGTTCTTGATGTCGTTATATAAATATATTGGCTGCGATCTATTTCCAAAAACTTTCCATCACTAGTCTGTTTTTCCTTGCATTACTTTACCTACGTTTAAAGTGTTTTCCTGAAGTACTTTCTAAATAGTGAGCGTTTTAGTTGTTAGTAGAGAAGGGTTACTCGACAATTTCAAGAGTTTTTGTTCCTAATAAATTCGGTTAAGTTCAAAGGTTTTGTAACATAATAAAAACAAATTAAGCCTTACAGTGGGTAGCTGAGCTGGTTTAAATTGTGGTGACTAGCTGGTAATACTTATGTTATTAAATACATACATCACACATCAACAGCCTTTGATAGTCCACTGCTGGACATAGGCCTCTCCTTAGAAAGGAAGTTTTAGCCTACTATACCACGCTGGCCAGACGGGTTCTTGTAGGGTTTGTTTCAAGTTTGTTTGTTGTTTGTTATACGCAATGTCACCACCCCTGTTCATCCCGTGGGTGTCGTAAAAGTCGACTAAGGGAGAAAACTACACAAGACAACAGCACTGCAAAGAGAAGGAAATATATACACTGCACGGATGGCGTAGTGGTTTAAGCGGTCGCCACGCCGCTTCCTACTACTTCGAGTCTTGTGGGTTCAAACCCCACATGGGACAACACTTTGTGTGATCCACAAATTGTTGTTCTAAGTCTGGGTGTTCTTTGTGTCCGTTTCGTGTATGTTTGTAAAGTCCCCCGCGACACAGGATTTATTCCTAAAGCGGGAGTTGTCTTTAAAAAAAATTTATTAAAGATAAATTCATCAGCTATTAATTAGGTAGGAACTAAACTTACGATCAAGCTCAGGAGCCAGAGCCTTGAACAATAAGATAAAATCGGGCACGTCAATATTGGTATTGCATCTAGATTTATATACATTGATAGTCAGTAGGACGCCTAGTCTCAGCGTATCGTTTTTCACAAGTATGGTATTTGTTCTTCTTCCAGAGTTCCTACTGGAGTCTCCAATGGCCTTGGGTCAGCAAAAGAAGACTTATATACCGGGAGTCCAACTGTTTCATGGTGAACAGTAAATACGAGGAAGCAAGAAGGTAGGTTGTCTGTGTGGTGACGGATTAAGAATACACAGTGTCACCACTCCTATTCATCCCGTGGGTGTCATAAGAGCCGACTAAGGGAACAAACTACGCAGGACAACAGCTCTGCATAGAGAAGGACAATCTTGACACAAACTCTATACCAACCCGTTCTTGCCAGGGTGGTACAGTAGGGCCATAACCTCCTTTCTGAGGATGTCCAGCAGTGGACCAGTAAAGGCTGTTGATGAAGAAGGTGGGAAGGTTTTTACTACTAAGTTATTGTTTTGTGTATTAAAATGTATCTTAAGAAATTATATTATTATTAATTATATTATATTATTATATTTTTATTACAAAGATACATTCCACGAGTGTTGATCTACGACTTTAGAGTCTACATAAAAAACGATTTCAAACAATTTTAATTTTTTTTATGAAATAAAGAGAGTTTGAGTTTGAATTGTAAGTTAAATAAAAGTTTGTAAAAATTGCTCAAAATATATGTAGAATGACATGAGAAAATGAAATTAATACTATTTGCAGACTATAGAAGTGTTAATCATAAATTGCTGTCATCATCACTTTCCGTCAGGTGAGATGGCAAACAAAGCCTATTCCAATCGTGACTCTAAATCAGTTTTAATTCAAGAAAATCTTTTTATCTGTTAGAAGGTCGTCAGCTTTTTTGGAATCTTTAAAAGGATTTTAGACCCAGGATTTCATTAGTATTTTAAATTTACAATTTATACATATTTGTACTCATATTCTTAAATATTTTAGGGCCTAATTTTATTAAGTAATTTGGAATACAAATGTTTAACTTCAAATTCATCGAAATATTCTTACTATTACAATATTTCGATGAATTTGAAGTTAAACATTTCACATACTCACTTTATATTGACTGGCCTGTTGGTCTAGTGGTTGGTGACCCTGACTGCTACTCCAGAAGTCGTGGGTTCGATTCGATTTCAAATAACTGTGTGATGAGCACGGTCATTTGTTCTGTGTCTGGGTGTAGTTTATCTATAATATGTATGTATTTAGAAATATATAAGTATGTTTATCAGCAGTCTGGTTACCATAGTACAGGCTCTGCCTAGTTTGGGATCAGACGGCCGTGTGTGAGATGTGTGAAAATATTATTATTATTGTATGAAACTTTTCATACACTGATCATCTTAGATGTTTGTTATATGACTTTTTTAAGTTAAACAATTTCATCGCGAGAAGTTATTGTTATTTGAAATCCACTTGAAATATTGAATAAGTTACGATGTTGTTTAATTTCAGAGAGAAATATCCGCCACTACCTGTATTAAGATACACCGACGACATCCTCTTATATCAAAGAGATGGCGACAAACAAAAAGGTAGTGATGATAATAATAAGGAAACGCCATCAGTGAAACAACTCAAAGAAAGCAATCGAAAATCTAGGCAACAAAAGGTACCAAATGGCGATGTAGAGAAGGAAGCTATACCCACCGATGATGAACAACCAAATGATGTTAGTGAAGATGAACAAATAGAGAATCAAATTTCCCCAATCGTTGAAGAGAACGACCAAGAAGTAATAGAAAACTACAATTTAGAAAAACCTGTAATCGAAGAACTTGAAGAAAATGGTGATGATAACATCAACAACTTAGAATCTGTTGTTGATGATTTAAATGAAGAAAATAGTGATAATCCAGAAGTGTTGAGTCGTACTGAGGAAACTATTCCTGATACCGTTGAAGAAAGTAGATTAAATGAAGAAATAGAACAAGAGACGAGTGAAGATGATATATTGAATGAAGTGCTAGCCAAAAGTGATGAAAGTACACCATCAAACGATGCAGATAATATACTTCATAGTATTCTTAGTGATGACGGACAAAATCTAGAAAATTCCGAAGTTAACAACGAAAGATAAAGACTTGCCCTGTAGATATAAGTTTTCTTGCACGGTAGTGTAGATCTCATTATGTTGTGATACATTATTTTGCTCAATATCATCATCATCTTTTTGGTTTTTCCCAATTTTATGTGGGTTCGACGCAATGTGTAATACTGCAATAGATTTTGGATGGTTTCTTTTCTCCTGGCCTCCTACTTTAGGCTAATCCTGTACAGCAATGGAGTTAGACAATAGAATAAATTAAATTTGGGTATAGGTTTGGATAAGGCGAGGGCAATAAGGTAGCTCGGCCTCTTGTTTCACACCCATACATCAGAGAGGCTATGATTGCTATGAAGGACCGAATGAACATGAAGACATTGGTTAGTTTTTTGCTCAATTTTAAACCTAACTGTAATGTTATGTCACGTTAATCGGAATAATTAATGTATTATTTGCATGTCAACAATTTGACGAGATGTTTTAAGCTCTAAGCTCAGAATTGTAAAAGCGGATGTACCATATTTTAGTCCAAAGAAAGTTTTTCTATTTCAAAAATAGATGCCATGATCGCCATGACAGTTTAGTGTATAGTGTAATCTATGTTCAGTTTCTTTATTGAAGAAGGCTAAGTGTTTGATTATTTCTTAGTTTTATTTAATAGTAAAATTAAAACGCTTAATTATGATTACTGTAACGACTTATATAATAAAACGACGAAAAATATAAATAATATTTTCTTATTCCTTATGGTATACACGAGTATGTTTGGAGGAGGCTTATACTGCATAAGGCGGTCCTTACACTTAACGTTATTAACATAAAATTTTAAGCAAACAAATTAACAAGACTAAAAAACATATAAGTAAAAATAATAAAAAATACAATACACATAAGTAAAAATAATAAAAATAAATACAACTCATCTTATAGTAAGGGAATCAACTAAGCTTTATAAATAAATATGGCATAAGAAAATGTTATTTTTTGTGCAGTAATCAAATATAATAATAGATGTCACTGATCATTGCTCAAATCGAATAGCGCACGCTTCCCTGGCTTTCTGTTACATATTTCCGTCCCATTTCATGAAATCATGAATTTCGGAAAGACATTACACATCCAAACAGCAAAATATAACATTGTCACATAATCATCATATTTGGCTCCAGTTTGCCCATCTTCGGACGTGGGCCTCCTCTCGTCTTTCCCCTATCCTGTGCCCGTGCCCGTGCCTACTGCCATCCAATTTACTCTGGCTCGTTCCGGAATGTCATCAAACGACCTAACTATTCACCAGTCCCCTAATTCGCATTGCTATACATATAAAGAAATATTTATTTTAAATAAGCTGTGTATATCAATAAAACTATTAGCCTATCGCCGTCCACTAAAGAGAGCTAACTATCCCTGCCTTTGTCAATGAATAAATATTTCACAAACAGTTAACATGAAACAAAAAGTAAAAAATTGAAAACTTTAAACAATAAAATGTATGCCTATCTATTTTTTTTTTCTTTTTTTAAAGACAACTCTAGAAATATATCCTGGGGATATATCACGGGGAATTTTACAAATATACATGAAACGGACACAAAGAACAACCAGACTCAGAACAACAATTTGTGGATCACACAAAGTGTCGTCCCATGTGGGGATCGAGCCCACATTACTCAGCGTAGTAGTAAGCGGCGTGGCGACCGCATAAACCACTCTTTCTCGACGTCAACGAAGGTCTATATGTTCTTATAAACATTGACGACCAAAAGAATGCTCTCAATTATTACATTTCGTGAATAAAAAGAGAATTATACCTAATAGATTGTATAACATTCACTTCTGTTTAGAATTTGCAACTAAATGTAAACAAATTGAAGCATTTCAATGAATAATTCCGCTATTGTAAAATGAGAAAATATATTTTTTAATAAAATTGTATGTTTCTGCTGTTTAAGAGTTTTATTTTACCTCCAACTGTTTTAATATTTCAATTCTCCACACCGTAATGGTTAAATATTTAGTTTCGACAATGTTTTATTTGGAGACCTACTCTCTGTATATTTTTAAATGCTCTTCTTTGTCTTCCGCTTTCATTGTTTGTTTTATCAATTTAATTTTTGTATTCTTATATTGTTATTTACTGAAGATTATATTTTTCTAAGACTGGTAAAATACCAGCTTTTAAACTTTCGCGTTTAACTTTGTATCTAATTAATTACTGGCCTGAGGCAGGTCCTGAGATATTAAGACAGTAATACTGCATTGTATTTTAGTGTATTGAAATCTTGATAGTTTTTAAGCAATTGTGGCTTTCATCATCATCATCATCATCATCAGCCTATCGCAGTCCACTGCTGGACATAGGCCTCTCCCATTGCACGCCACTTAGATCGATTTTGGGCTTCTCGCATCCAGCTCCTGCCAGCCATCTTTCAATCAGTCAATTCAAATCAGTCAAGCAGTCAAGCAAATCAGTCAATTGTGGCTTTGTATGTCATTTATTGCTTATTTGATACTGCAATGTTCTCGTAGCAAAATTCTACAGTTATTCGTAGAAGTTGTATACCCCTCGTAGCCTGCAGCTACGGAGTCTGGTGTTTTACGACGATTTTGATAGATATACACTCTTCACTTTTTTACATGTCAAAATAAAAGCTTTTGTTAATTCGCTATTCCAAGAAAAAAAAAATACAAAAAAGGTTTGATATTGCGATCGTAGTACTTTGATTCCACGAACATACATATTTATAACCGCCGATATCATTTTTTTCTGATATTGAACAGAAACCTATTGTAGCGATTGGTTGCAAATTGCCAGGAAAATTTCAATATGAATTTTCTTTATCACGTTGTACTGACACTGACACGGGTGGTCTCTTCACCTCTTAATAAAGCTCCGATGTCTGATCCAAAAGTAGTAGTCCAAAATATACACGTGAGTAAAACCGTTTATTTTTTATAACTATAAACAGAAGTAAAGCCATGTTGGTGGCGGGCGTTGGTCGCTCGCTTTGATTTGAGCTTTTCACATGTTACCGATTCTTTACTCGACACAGAATCGATACAGTGCAAATGACAACCTGCCAGGACGCTCTTCGAGATTGTTTGTTTGCTGTACATTGGTCCACTTATGCCTCGTTCCTTTGTCACATCTAAAAAGCGTAATATTCCCAAGTAGGTTTGGCAGGTTCAGGCAGTCATCTGGCAATAAAATAATAATAATAATAACTTGATACATCTCACACACGGTCGTCTGATCCCAAACTACGCAGAGCCTGTGCTATGGTAACCAAACTGCTGATGAACATACTTATATTTTTAAATACATACATATTATAGATAAATTACACCCAAACACAGAACAAATCATTTGTCCTGGGTGGAAATCGAATCCATCACCTCCGGCTTAGTAGTCCGTGTCACTAATCACTAGACCAACAGGCTCGTCGTCCGTTCATTAACAAAAAGAAACCATGCAAAATGTTTTGAACACGTTTCATTGATCTCAAATTCTTATACATGAGAATAATTCAAAAGATCTAAGAACAAATCATCTTTTTCACTTTAAAAATAAAATATTCTGCTTAATTGTACAATCAAAATTCAAAATCAGGAGTCAGATAGATACATTTCTATTCTTGAACAGCTTTTATAAAAACATCGTGGAATTTCTCCAAATAAATTTCCGAGAAGCGACCACGTCCCCTAACTGACAATGCTACCTTGAACCCCGACTACAAAGGTACCTCAAACAAATAGTAATAAGCCCACCGTTTTAATATATTCTTATTCAAATTTGATTTGTCTTGTTCAAAGTGAATTGTACAAAGGGCATTTGGTATTGGATATCGTAACAATTGTATTATAAGCTTCCGAGAAAGACAAATTCGATTTTATGGCTCATTTGGTGTTTGCTGCCGAGTTATGTAGAAAATTATGTTTGCACTGGCACTGGAGGGCATCACAATGACTTCTGGTATTGTCTTCGAATGTCATCAAGCATTGAAGCAGCTTGCAACATTAAATGAGGAACTCCTCAAATCGATTAAAGCACAGTAACTCACACGGGAACGACGCCGCAGATGAGTTGGCAGAGTTGGCAAGGAGGGGCTCGGCAACCTTAGCTACCGGCCCAACCATACTCTTGCTACTGTCTTTCAATCAACTTCGATCCTGGCTAGATTGGGGCTCTGGTAACCATTCTCACTCGGTGAAATCAATGGATTACTTAACTCCGTTTTTCTGTGAGACTCTAGTAGAGCCGAAGCATGACTCTCCCATGGCAAGACTGCTAGATATATCATTTTATTTTTTCCTACGTAGGTTAGGGTTGCTACTTACTCATGCTTTGTTGCCAAGAAGCTGTTTTCAGACTACGCATAACTAATAAAATACTTTCTTCATATTTATTTATTTAAAAATACTTGTAAATTGTCGAAAAGGAAATTTCAATTGTATCTTGCAATTGAATCGCTAATTCGACGGCCACATCACGTCCTCAACACAAATATAAACAAACTTTGACTAAATCAGCAAACTTCTATCCAAACAAAAGCGACACCTGCAAGGTCGCACTTAATTAGCGCCATCTATTGACAAAATAAATAGGAGTTTAATCAGACAAGTGACGTCATTTGTGTGTAAACATTTACACTTCGTGTCCGTTCTTTGGACAAGCGACCGATTGTTTGAATGTAACCTGCGTCATTCGGTAAAGGGTCGCGATGGGAGTAACGGTTTATAATATGGAAAGTTTACATAAGGTGTCAACGATCCGATAGTAAACATGGGGTAGGTAGATTTTAACTTCTAAACTTAAGGCAAATTATTCCGAACATCCTACTAATCTGATTCATCATCATCATCAACACCTTTTACTAGTCCACTGCTGGACATAGGCCTCTCCTTAGAAAGGAGGTTTTAGCCTACTATACCACGCTGGCTAGACGGCTTGGTATAGGGTTTGTGTCAAGTTTTCCTTCTCTCTGCAGTCTTAGTCGTCTCTTCGACACCCACGGGATGAATAGGGGTGGTGA